CCTGGCCGGGTGCAGTGGCCTGTAATCCCAGCACTTTGGGAGGCCAAGGCGGGCAGATCATGAAGTCAAGAGATGGAGACCATCCTGGCCAACATGGTGAAACCCCATCTCTACTAAAAATACAAAAATTAGCTGGGCGTGGTGGCGCATGCTTGTAATCCCAGCTACTCCAGAAGCTGAGGCAGGAGAATTGCTTGAACCCTGGAGGTGGAGGTTGCAGCAAGCCACGATTGTGCCATTGCACTCCAGCCTGGGCAACAAGAGCAAAACTCCATCTCAAAAAAAAAAAAAAATCCGACAGGCTTCCCCATTGCATTTGGTTGCATGTCTCTTTTGTCTCCATTAATTTAGAAAGTTCCCACTGCCAATTTCTGTCTTTCATAACAATAACATTTGTCTTGTAGAATTTCCCACAATCTGAATTTGTCAGATTGTTTTTTCATAGTTATTTTCAGATTAAACATTTTTTTTGGCAACAGTATTCATCCATGACCTTGAGTCCTTCTGTGCACAGCATAGCAGGAGGCACATGATGTTCTTTCTTTTTTTCTTTTTTTTGAGACGGAGTCTCACTCTGTCGCCCAGGCTGGAGTGCAGTGGTGCGATCTCGTCTTACTGCAACCTCCGCCTCCCAGGTTCAAGCGATTATCCTGCCTCAGCCTCCCGAGTAGTTGGGACTACAAGTACGTGCTACCATGCCTGGCTATTTTTTGTATTTTTTGGTAGAGACAAGGTTTCACTATGTTGGCCAGGCTGGTCTCTAACTCCTGACCTCAAGTGATCCGCCTCGGCCTCCCTCTCTGTTTTTTTTTTTGTTTTTTGCTTTGTTTTTTTGAGATGTAGTCTAGCTGTGTCACCCAGGCTGGAATGGAGTGGCATGCTCTCCGCCCATTGCAACCTCCCTCTCCTGGGTTCAAGCTTTTCTCCTGCCCCAGCCTCCAGAGTAGCTGGGATTACAGGCACCCGCCACCACGCCCAGCTGAGTTTTCGTATTTTTAGTAGAGACAGGATTTCACTGTGTTGGCCAGGCTGGTCTTGAACTCCTGACCTTGTGATCCTCCTGCCTCAGCCTCCCAAAGTGCTGGGATTACAGATGTGAGCCACTGCACCAGGCCCTCCCTCTCTTTTAAAAAATAAAATAGACCGGGCGCGGTGTCTCAAGCCTGTAATCCCAGCACTTTGGGAGGCCAAGACGGGCAGATCACAAGGTCAGGAGATTGAGACCATCCTGGCTAACATGGTGAAACCCCGTCTCTACTAAAAAATACAAAAAAAGTAGCCAGGCGAGGTGGCAGGCGCCTGTAGTCCCAGCTACTCAGGAGGCTGAGGCAGGAGAATGGTGTAAACCCAGGAGGCGGAGCTTGCAGTGAGCTGAGATCTGGCCACTGCACTCCAGCCCCAGGCGCAAGGAGTGAGACTCCGTCTCAAAAAAAAAAAAAAAAAAAAAAAGTCACTTTGGATTCATGGATTTTTTTTAAAACAATAATCCATGTGGGGCCAGGCAATGTGGCTCATGCATGTAATGCCCAGCAGTTTGGGAGGCCGAGGTGGGTGGATGGCTTGAGGCCGGGAGTTCAAGACCAGCCTGGCCAACATGGTGAAACCCTGTCTCTACTAAAAATACAACAACTGGCCAGGTGCGGTGGCTCAGGCCTGTAATCTCAGCACTTTGGGAGACCAAGGCGGGCGGATCACGAGGTCATGAGATTGAGACTATCCTGGCTAACACGGTGAAACCCTGTCTCTACTAAAAAAATACAAAAAAATTAGCTGGGCATGGTGCTGCCTGTAGTCCTAGCTACTCAGGAGGCTGAGGCAGGAGAATGGCGTGAACCCGGGAGGCGGAGCTTGCAGTGAGCCGAGATCGTGCCACTGCACTCCAGCCTGAGTGATGCAGCGAGACTCCGTCTCAAAAAATAAATAAATAATTAAATAAAAAAACAGTTAGCTGAGTGTGGTGGCGGGGTGCCTGTAATCCCAGCTACTCGGGAGGCTGAAGCAGGAGAATCACTTGAACCCAGGAGGCGGAGGTTGCCTGAGCTGAGATCACACTGCTGCACTCCAGCCTGGGCAACATAGCGTGACTCTGTCTCAAAAAAGAAAGAAAGAAAAGAAAAAAAAATTCACGTAGTTATTACTTTTGATACTCTAATTGTCCCAAATTTGGTTGGTTGTAGCCTTTTCAGATTGGCTCTTGTGTCCTTTTGACTTGCCTCCATTAGTTATTGAGTACTTTCTTCTTTCTAATACCACAAGATGTTCCAGGCTAACCTTGTATTTCCTTTTCCTGGCTTGGAACCAGCCATATATATTTTTAAAATTCTGTGTTCATACTGATACCTCCGCTTTGAATCCAACACCACAAGGCTCTTTCTTACCTTTCCATGGTCTGTATTCTGTCTCCTTCAGTGAGAACTCACCTTCCCCAAATCATCAGCACACTGACTCATTTGCCCTCTTCTGTAGTATACATGGCAAAGCTTTAGAGTCATTGCAGCAGTACCAGCAGTAAGAGTAAACCTGCTAAAATTCATGACTTTTTTGCAGTTTCTTTTTCTTTTTTTGAGACAGGGTCTTGCTCTGTCACCCAGGCTGGAGTGCAGTGGCGCAATCACACCTCACTGCAGCCTTGACTTCCAGAGTTGGAGTGATCCTCTCACCTCAGCCTCAGGAGAAGCTGGGACTATAGGCGCACATCACCATGTCCCGCTAATGTTTGTATTTTTTTTTTTTTTTTTTTGAGATGGAGTCTCACTCTGTCGCCAGGCTGGAGGGCAGTGGCATGATCTCGGCTCACTGCAACCTCTGCCTCCCAGGTTCAAGCGATTCTCCTGCTTCAGTCTCCCGAGTAGCTGGGACTACAGGCACATGCCACCACACCCATGTAACTTTTGTATTTTTAGTAGAGATGGGGTTTCACCATGTTGGCCAGGATGGTCTTGATCTCTTGACCTCGTGATCCGCACGCCTCGGCCTCCCAAAGTGCTGGGATTACAGGCGTGAGCTACCGTGCCTGGCGATGTTTGTATTTTTTCTAGAGACTGTATCTTGCTGTGTTACCCAGGCTGGTCTTGAACTTCTGAGCTCAAGTGATCCATCTGCCTTGGCATCTCAAGGTGCTGAGATTCCCGTCATGAGCCACTGCACCCAGCCTGTTTGCACTTATTTTTGCCCTTAAGGTTTATCTTTCTAAGAGTACACAGAATTACTGTGATCAAAAGTTACTTGGGCCTTTTTTTTTTGTCTGTAAGATTGTTAGCAATTTAAAGTATAGTTAGCTTGATTTGTTTTTGTTTCAGTTTTAGGGTTCGCTTTTCTTTTTGGTTTAAGTTTTTGAAATATGGAAGTCATTTTATGTGTACAAGTACATTAAAAAAGCTTGTTAACAAGTATGTAAAGAATGGAAGTCTCTCTACTCATCCATTACTTTCTGGTTGATTCTTCCTGTGTTTCTTTTCAAAAATAAGCAAATTCATATGTGCATTTTTACTTCCCCTTTCTTACATAAGGGGTAGCATATGATTTACACTTTTCGTCCTCTGCTTTTTTTTTTTTTTTTTAAACTTAATATATCCTGGAAAGCATTCCACAGCAGTTTACATCTTTATTTTTTTTTAATTTATTTTATTTTTTTGAGACATGGTTTCACTCTGTCACCCAGGCTGGAGTGCAGCAGCGCAATCTTGGCTCACTGCAACCTCTGCCTTCTGGGTTCGAGATTCTCCCACCTCAGCCTCAGGAGTAGTTGGGATTACAGGCTCATGCCATCATGCCCGGCTAATTTTTGTATTTTTTTGGTAGAGATGGGGTTTCACCATGTTGGCCAGGCTATTCTCAAACTCCTGACCTCAAGTGATCCTCCTGCCTTCGCCTCTGAAAGTGCTGGGATTACAGGTGTGAGTCACCGTGGCTGGCCTCTTTTTTACATCTGTGTAATACTCTACTGCATGATGCATCTTGTATATTTAAATAGTCATATTTAGGTTGCTTTCAGCATTTTGCTAATGCAAGTAGTGTCATGTTGAATAACGTGTGTGTTTGTCATTTCTTATATCTGGGTAAATGACTAACAGGATCAGGATTATTAGGTTAAAAGGAAAATATATTCTTATTCTCTTCCTTTTCTTTAACATGAAAGGTTTACCATACAGACTATTGTACATCTTGCTTTTTTTAACTAATCATGTTTTTGGAGATTTTTCCATATCAGTACCCGGAGAACCTCTTTCTCTTTTTAAAATTTTTAACAGCTGCAGAGCATTTTTAAAAATAGCTGCGGAACAGTCCATTGTATGACTGTACCATTGGTTTAATCAGTCCCCTATTGATGTTATCCTTTGTTATTCAAAGCAGTGCTGCAATTAATGCACCTGTGTATGGATATCATTTCCTGATTGTCTCTATCATACCCTTCTCTTTTCTTTTTGTGGTAGATGTTACTGGGTTTTTATATCTGTATTTGATCCCATATCACAAAAGGGCCCAGAAGATTGTAATTGCCCGATCTTTTAATCAGGTCCAGAGGAATTTGACTGGAATGCTAGAAGTGTTTTTATATGTGTGTGTGTGTGTGCGTGTGTGTGTGTGTGTGTGTGTGTGTGTGTGTATGTTTTTCCTTTGAGACAGTCTTGCTCTGTTGCCCAGGCTGGAGTACAGTGGTGCAATCACGGCTTACTGCAGCCTCCACCTCCCAGACTCCCACTTCAGCCTCCTGAGGAACTGGGACTACAGGCATGCACCACCGTGCCTGCCTAATTTTTTATTTTTTGTAGAGATGGAATCTCACTATGTTGGCCAGACTGGTCTTGAACTACTGGTCTCAAGTGATCCTCCTGCCTCAGCCTCCCAAAATGATGGAATTACAGGTGTGAGCCACTGGGCCTAGCCTGAAGTTTTTATTTTAAAGCAAACTTCTCATGGAAGTCTAACACACAGGAGATTGCACAAATTGTAACTGTATGCTTGGAGAATGTTCACAAAATCTACCTCTGTGTATCCAGCACCCCTACCAGGAACAGATGCCGGGCCCCCAGTCGCTGCCCCATCAAGGGTAATACTGCCTTGACTTCTAATACCATAGATTAGTTTTTCCTGTTCCAAAACTTTAAGCAAATTTCTGCCCAGCTTTTAAATGTTGCATTGCCTTAGCACTTGGTTGTGGACCATTTTCTGCTGTTGACTATATAAATGTCCACCAAAGTTACTGTTCTAACAAGGTGATTGCTGCTTGGTTTCCCTGGCGTTAACTTGCCAATGATTACTTAGCATGGGTCAACCAGGCCTGCTGCTGAACTTCCAGGAGCAGAGCATGTTTGTACATTCCAGATTCCTATAAGACGCCCTGTCCAGGTGTCCCCCAGCGTCTCATATCCTGCGTGTCCATAGCACAAGCTGCTTGTCCTCCCCTGGAACCTCCGCCTCGTCTCACACAGGCTTGTCATGATGGGTCTCCACCATCCACTCGGAGTTAAGTGGGCAGGGAGTCTTCCAATTGCTTCCTTTCCCCTACTCCTTAAAACCACCTCAAGACCCCTTCAAACTTGTCTCTGAAGGGTCTCAGGGAGCACAACCTGCCCACCTTGCCTCTCTAGCCTCATCTGCTGCTCCCTCATTTGCATTCTGCTTTGGCCGTAGTGGCTTTCTTTCCCTTATGATAGGTGGCTCATGCCTATAATCCCAGCACTTTGGGAGTCCAAAGCGGGAGGATTGCTTGAGGCCAGGAATTTGAAACCAGCTGTGCAACACAGCAAGACCTCCTATCTACAAAATATTTAAAAATTAGCATAGTAGCCTGTCCCTGTAGTCTAGCTACTCAAGAGGCTGAGGCAGGAGGATGGCTTGAGCCCGGGAGTGCCACTTTACCCCAGCCTGGGTGACAGAGTGAGACCCTGTCTAAGAAAAAACACAAGTGTGAAGCTCCTTCCTAGTGAGGAACTGTCCCTGTAGGATGCTTTCCCATCTGTCTGGAAGGCTGTTTTGCCCGGGGAACTCTTCTTCATTCTTCAGGTCTTTACTACCACTTGTATTTAATTTCCCTGAGGCTGGGTACAGTGGTTCATGCCTGTAATCCTAGCACTTTGGGAGGCTGAGGCAGGTGAATTGCTTGAGCCTAGGAATTCAAATTAGCCTGGGCAATATGGCAAAACTCAGTCTCTACAAAAAAAAATAAAAATTAACTGGGCATGGTTCATGCCTGTAGTTCCAGCTACTTAGGAGGCTGAGCTTGGAGGATCACCTGAGCCTGGGGAGGCTGAGGCTGCAGTGAACTGAATTTGTACCACTGCACTCCAGCCTGGGCAACAGAGAGAGACCCCATCTCAAAAAAAGTTTTTTTAATTAAAATAATTTAATTTCCCTGACTCCCCAGACCAGATTAGATCACTGTGACATGCTATGTATGTTTTCACGGCAGCTGTGCTTGCCTTTTATATGATTTACTGCAGAGGTGATTGTTTCATGGGGAGAGCAGGGACCACATCTGTCTTGCTCATTCTCTCTTCCAGCACCATATAAGTGTCTTAATAAATGAACAAAGGCAAAAGGAGTGAAGGGGGGCTAGCCTGTGACCAAGGCTGAGGCTCAGTCTGTACTTCAAGGTCAAGGAATAGAATGTCACTTGGCTTTCCCTATATGGGATCCCTTCCCAGGTTCCTTTCCCATCCTTGGATGGGGTTTTCAGAGGGTAGATTTTGTACCTTGAGGCAGAGGGCAGGAGCAGCTGTGAAGATGCAGCTGGTAGAAGGGTGGCTCTGGGAGGAGGGGAGCTGCCCCCATTGTGTTCACGGTACTGTGGTAGTATGTGCTGGGTCCTGTCCTGGGGAGCTTGCTATGCAGATGGGGAGTAGAGAGGGACTGGGTTGAGTGTGGTCCGATCTCATCCTTCTCTGGCTTTTCTTTCCTTCTAGTTCAGGACAAGAGGTGTGGGCAGGCCACTGGGCCGACTGGTACCATCATGGCAGGTAAGGAGAGGGGCAGGCTGTGTGGGAAGGACATGACAGTGAGCATAGCGTGGATGGCCCTCTTCCTGGTCCCCTTATCTCCCCTAGTCTTTGGAGGCCAGGTTCTTTCCATCTTATTGTCCCTAAGCTTTCCCCACTCTCTCCACTGAGGCCTGTCTGAGAACCTCAACATGACATTGTCTAGCCCTCTGTCAGATCTCTGGTCCTAGGGACCAGGAATTGAGCACCTTGATGTCCTTGTCTTACTGTCCATCTGCCTGATTAGTGGCCCCCCTCCCCTCTGTCTCTATTGCTTTCTAATACTCTGAGGCCTTTTTTTATCTGGTTCAGAAGGCTCAGAGGTATAGAATGCCAAAGTTGGAGGGAACTTTAAGAACCGTATAGCCCAGCCCCCACTCCAGCAGATAAACTGAGGTCTAGAGAGGGGCGATGATTTGCCCCAGAGCACAAATGCTGAATGGAGGCTGGAACCTACATCTGTAGATTCTCACACATCCCGCTTCCTCTGCTTGGAGCTGCCCCCACTGAGAGGGTGGCACCTTGAGGCCCCGAGACAGTGTCACTCAGAATTAAAAAACAATAACTTGGTCTGTCAAGGTGACATTGTTTTTTATTCTGAGTGACACTGTCTTAGGGCATTTGGCTACTTTGGGATCATCTCAGCTGACCTGGGGAGGTAGGGACGGCTGAGTGGGGAAAACAGAACGGCCGGTGGCCACAGGGGCCAATAGGGCAGCACAGCCAGAGAAATGATGAGCGTCTTGGATTGTCAGGGGAAAGACTGGAGGTGATGTTGTGCAATGTGTCTCATCCACAGAGAAAGTGAACAACTTCCCACCATTGCCCAAATTCATCCCGCTGAAGCCATGTTTCTACCAAGACTTTGAGGCAGACATTCCTCCCCAGCATCTCAGCATGACCAAGCGCCTCTACTACCTCTGGATGTGTGAGTGCCGTGGGATGGGGGTGGGCCAGGGTGACTGGAGGAGGAAGGAAGACTGGGCGTGCTGGGCAGCAGGATGGGGTGCCCACAGGCCCGACTGTCCTTCAGTCCCACTGTGGCATATGCATGGACCATAAGTCTTCCCCTGCCAGGCTCCCGGAGGCTTCTTCCATGGGCCACTTCCCCGACTGGGCCTCAGTTTCCATCAACCTCCCCATCTAGGCCTCTCCTCCCTTCCTTCCCCTCCACCCTCCTTTCACAGAGCATCTGGACAGGGGTCCCTCTCTGCAGTGTAATCCCTGTCTTCTTGCTTCCCCTTTCCCTTCCACTGGAGTAACTTTCCAGGGAACATCTGAGGACTGTCAGGACCTCAGGATTCTGGATTTGGAGAGGAATCCTTCCCTCAAAACCTTATTTGTCTTGCTTTCTCTGGAAGATTGCTCAAAGAGGAGGATTCAACTGGGAGTTGGGAGCTGTGGGGTCATGTTCGCCTGGACACTGTGCTTCCCAAGCAGCAGGTTCCTCATTTGTAGGAAGAGAGTATTGGCTTGGCGATTGCTGTGATTCCATGCAGCTCTGTGTTGGGTAGTCTGTACCTGTAAGAGTCTAATGTCAGGCACAGTGGTTCACACCTGTGATCCTGGCACTTTGGGAGGCTAAGCCAGGAGGATCACTTGAGGTAAGGAGTTTAAGACCAGCCTGGGCAACACAGCAAGACCCCTATCTCTACAGAAAATTAAAAAAAAAAAAAAATTAGGCCTGTGTGGTGGCTCACACTTGTAGTCCAGCTACTCAGGAGGCCAAGGCAGAGGATCCAATGAGCCTAGGAGTTTGAGACCAGCGTGGGCAACATAGCAAGACCCCATCTCTTAAGAAAACTAGCTAGGGATAGTGGCACTTGCCTGTAGTCCTAGCTACTCAGGGGACTAAGGTGTGAGGATCACTTGAACCCAGGAGTTCAAGGCTGCAGTGAGCTATGATCATGCTACTGCATTCCACCTTGGGTGACAGAGTAAGCACCTGTCTCTAAAAAAAAAATTAAATAATCTAGAATTCTTTATTTAGAAAACCTTAGCATCAATGTTCTAAGGTTTTAAGGTTGAGAGTGTAAAGGCCTCATTTCTGGTGATCTGCAGCAGGTGGTGGGAAAGGTGTCTTCTTGGGAGGATGGGACTTGGCTGTGCTGAGGTTGGTTAGAAGGTACCTCTTAGGCATGTGAGGGGAAGGCAGGCTGGCTATCCTGTGCTGGGTGTGAACCCCAGAAACCAAAGATACCCGCAGTGTGACTACAGTTGGATTCTGCTATGTGTGACATTGCCCTCAGTGAGGCCTGCACTTAGCTGCCTACCTGGGCAGATGCTTGCACATGCCAGGAAGGTGGTAAAATATGCTGTCTTTGCAGCAGGTCCCCCATGGCATGGTAGGAAGAGGATGGGGCAGATAGACTCCGTTTCAAGGCCTGGCTTGGCCTTTGAGTGAAGAAGGGATCTCCTACCATGTAACCTGAGAGAAGGGGGGATGGAACAGGTGTGGGTAAGTCTGTAGATGTTGGGAAGCAAATAAGGAAGTTAACTCTGATGGCTTCCGTTTTTTCCATCAAATATGATGTAGTGGGGAGAGTGGGCTCAGGACGAGGCTATAGCCATGTTTGTAGACAGAGAGTGAGGACACTCTCCAAAGAAACCTGGCCCCTAAGATTTTTGGGCCATACACAAGGTCCATTTGAGGTTGGCTGATGTGAATTTATACTCCTGCCAGTCTTCCTCATGGGGTCCCCTTTTTTCTCAGCGACATTCAGCTCAGGTACAGATGAGAATTATGTTCATCTAGGATGAGTGTGACCAGAAGACAGGGCAGGAGAGGGAATAAGAAAATGAGGAATGAATTATGGAATCTAAGCTGGATAGGGGGAAGAGTGAAGACAAACAGAAACTGATCGGTAGAGAGAGAGGGGCTGAGCCCATGGGTATCCATTCCAGAGAGGAAGCAGAGTAATTGCAGCAGAAGTGTTTGAGCAAGGGAGCTGGGGACAGGTTGGACTAGGGAGAGATGTAACCAATGTAATAGGTTAGTGTCTTTTCTATATAAAGAGCAAATAAAATCAGTTTTTAACACCAAGCCTCCAGGAGATTTTGGGACAATGAACAGGGATAGAGGAAATACAGCTGAATATACAGGAAGAAATGCCCACTCATTATGAGGGGCCCTGAGATGGGTGACATGGTGGTCAGGCCAGGCTTGTGGGTCACTGTCTGACCTGGACTCTGGGAACTCCACTCCTGGGAACATCTCATCCAGAAGCTGGATTTAAGGGCTATAAATATCTCCTTAAGTCCTCACTAGGCACTCACCAGGTGGTTTACTCCCAAGGAAATGTATATAACCCTTGAGGTGCTTAAGAGTTTTATTCAGAAGACAGGACCACAGATGCCTGGCTGTTTGAGGCCATGATTGAGTCCTCCTTCGTTTGTTTGTTCAGCAGGTCTTTGTGGACTTGGCTTTGTTTTCAAGGAAGGGAGTTCCCTGATGTTAGATAATGATGTGCTGCACAGACCTGGGTGTGTGTTAGTACCAGCATCACTTTTATCTGTAAATCTTTGAGGTCCCTGCTGGCCATGACTCAGTGACACTATACCTCCTAGTTCAGATAGATGAGGTGGGGACAGAGGAGGGAGAGCCTGGGTCCTGTTCTTGGGGAACTTTTAGTCTGGTTGATGGGCTGGGATTTATATCTGGGGAAACTTGAGAGCAGCCCAGGTCAGTAGAAGGTCAGAGGGATGGGAGATGATGAGGTTGCAGCAGCAAAGGAAGACTTCTTCGAGGAGCTGGCATGAGAGTTATCTAAGAAATAGATTAGATAGCTGGGCACAGTGACTCACACCTATAATCTGGCACTGTGGGAAGCCAAGGCGGGTGGATCACCTGAGGTCAGGAGTTCGAGACCAGCCTGGCCAACTTGGCGAAGACCCATCTCTACTAAAAATATAAAAATTAGCTGGGCATGGTGGCGGGTGTCTGTAATCCCGGCTACTCGGGAGGCTGAGGCAGGAGAATCGCTTGAACCTGAGAAGTGGAGGTTGCAGTGAGCTGAGATCACGCCACTACGCTCCAGCCTGGGCTACAGAGCAAGATTCCATCTCAAAAAAAAAAAAAAAAAAAAAAAAAAAAAAAAAAGAAATAGATTAAATAAAGACTGAGATTCCAAGGCCAGGTGTGGTGGCTCACATCTGTAATCCCAGCACTTTGGGAGGCCTTGGCGGGTGGGTCACGAGGTCAGGAGATCGAGACCATTCTGGCTAACAAGGTGAAAACTTGTCTCTACTAAAAAAATACAAAAAAAATTAGCTGGGCATGGTGGTGGGCGCCTGTAGTCCCAACTGCTTGGGAGGCTGAGGCAGGAGAATGGCTTGAACCCGGGAGGCGGAGCTTTCAGTGAGCCAAGATCGGCCACTGCACTGCAGCCTGGGCGACAGAGAAAGACTCTCTCTCAAAAAAAAAAAAGACTGAGATTCCAGCCGCCAATGCCTGCCCTATTTAAGTGCAAGGTAGATGGCACAATGGCTAGAAGAGATGTTTCCACAAGGCCTTTTACTTTTCCCTTTCCATGCCCCTCTTTCGAAAGAGAAAGTGTAAGGTCGGTTTCCCATGTCCTGGACTTGGTGATTGCTGTGAGTCTGGGAGGGTGAGGGGCTGAAGCCATTCTTATAAGGACAAAAGCATTTTACCACCCTGAGGCTTTGGAGCCCTTCAAAGGGGCTTGCTGGGCAGAAGCTCTGGGTTGTGGAGCCTGTGCTCTCCAGATTTCTCAGGAGTGGGTGCTGGGGTTGTTGGGGGGCGGGGGCGGTGGTTGGTTTGAGCTCCCAGCTTGCTTTCTTACAGTCTTTACTCCTCTGTGTGTGTATGTGTGTCTCATGTGTCTATGTATTTGTTGGTACGGGTTGTGGGTCTTTTGTGTGGGTGTGAATCTGTGAATGTATCTGCATCTCTCTGTGTTTGTGTGTGCTGTTGGCCTGGCTTGATTGTGGGTCTCTGTTGTGTTACTGGTGTGTGCGTGCCCATGTCCATGTGCTCATGTGTCTCTCTATGGGCCTGGGTGTCTGTCTCTATGTGTGCATGTGCTCCTGGGCCTGCAGTGAACAGCGTCACGCTGGCCGTGAACCTGGTGGGCTGTCTCGCGTGGCTGATCGGAGGCGGGGGAGCCACCAACTTTGGCCTCGCCTTTCTCTGGCTCATCCTCTTCACACCCTGCTCCTACGTCTGCTGGTTTCGGCCCATTTACAAGGCCTTCAAGTAAGTGGTTGGTACTAACTGCAGTGCCTAGCCGTCTCTTTGCCTGTCTCCCCTGCCTCTTCTCCATATCTTTTCTCACTTCTTTTTTTTTTTTTTACCCTCCCCCAAACTCACTTTCCTTTGTTCACCTTTGGCTCAGATTGCTAGGTAGGGCTGGGCTTGGGCTTTCTGGGGGTACCAGGTTGAGGTGAGAGGGCTGAGAGTTAGTTCCTTTCCTCCTCACTCTACCCTTGGGTAGGGGAAATACAGAGAGACCAGGCCTATTTTTTCTTCTGTTGTCACCTTCCTCGGGCAGCTGCATGTTAAATTTTGCCTGTGGGGCTGCCTGTCTTGGTGGAACTGCCCATCCTAGTACCTGTGGGGCTAGCCGACTTGGTGCCAAGGACACCATCTATCCATGTGCCAATGGAACCAGCCAGCCATGCACCATGGACGCTGTTCATGTGCAATGAGGTCATCCAACTGTGTGCCAAAGGGAACACCCATCCACGTATCGGTGGAACTTGCTGTCTCCGTGCCAGTGGGTGTCCACCTAGTGCCAAATGGCATTTTCAATCTTTGTGCCCATGTGACTATTCATCACTGTACCAAGGCTATCTGTCTTAGTGCCAGTAGAATATCCATCTCAATGCTAATGGGGCCTTAAATCTCTTTGTGCCAATCAGGCCATCTATCTAAGTGCCAATTAGCTACTATTTTGGTGCCAATAGGGTGTCCATTCTAGTGCCAATGCGATTTTCTATCTCTGAGCCTATGGGACCATCCATCCATGTACCAGTGGAGCTAGCTGTCTTGGTGCCGGTGTCCATCCCCTTGACAATGAGACTGTTTATTCCTGCCTCAATGGAGCCATCTATTTCTATGCCAATAAGCCGTCCATCCATGTAACAGTGGGTGGTCTGTTCATGAGGAAATCCCTCCCTGTGCAATGTTGCAACACACAGGTCTACCATGTGGAAACTTGCAAAGATGTATGGGTAAAACTATCCCATTCTGACCTCTCAATTAAGGCCTTTAAATGTCTTCTGTCCATTACGCACTTAAACTTGGAAGGGCTTGGGGGCCTTGAAGGCAGGGAAGCCCTGGCCTTCTGCCCAGGTGACGGGAGCCACCTCCTCTGCCGCAGGACTGACAGCTCCTTCAGTTTCATGGCATTCTTCTTTACCTTCATGGCTCAGTTGGTCATCAGCATCATCCAGGCTGTGGGCATCCCAGGCTGGGGCGTCTGGTAAGAGGCAGGGGTGTGGCCTGGGGCTGGAAGGGGTGGCACTGCGGGTGTATCTTTTGCGTACCTTTGTGTGCTAAGCTGCCTAGCCTATGGGGCCTGAGTGACATGGGTTGTTGGGAGAGTGAGAGCATTCGCGATAGTGTAGTAGTACAGCCATAGCATCAGAGGGAAGGAGAACCTGGCAGTGGTTTCTTGGGGGCTGAGGGGGGTCAGGGATTATGGGAAAATCTGGGGAAAGGAAGTGTTGTATCTGAAGAGCACCTCTGAGCCACAGGGAAGGAGTCTTCTTGAGCCACTGACACAGGCCCTTTGGGTATCAGTAAGATGGTCCCTCTGCATCCAGTGATATGTTTCCTCCCTGTGACAATGAGATGGTCCCTTCCTCTGGGAGAGGGGCTCCTGGGCACCGCTCATCCTGCCCGCAGCCCCACACTGGCCTCTTCCTGCAGCGGCTGGATTGCCACCATCTCCTTCTTCGGAACGAACATTGGCTCGGCGGTGGTGATGCTAATTCCCACTGTCATGTTCACAGTGATGGCCGTCTTTTCCTTCATCGCCCTCAGCATGGTACGTGGTCCCCTCAAGGGTGAGAAGGTGGCTTAGGGAAGGGGCTGTGTTCTGAAACAAGCCCTCCTCCAAGTTACAAGAGGATCCTGAGGTCTTCCAAGAGACTCACTCTGGATGGCCTGCAGGACTCTCCTACAGAGGCATGCATAGGGAGGGAGCACTGTTTTTTTTTTTTACAGATGGGTCCCATCTATTTCCTGGATGGGCTGTCTTTTTTCTTTGATTAACCCTTTCTTATGCTCTTTTTTCCTACAGGTTCATAAATTTTACCGGGGAAGTGGGGGGAGTTTCAGCAAAGCTCAGGAGGAGTGGACAACAGGGGCATGGAAGAATCCACACGTGCAGCAGGCGGCCCAGAATGCAGCCATGGGGGCAGCCCAGGGTGCCATGAATCAGCCTCAGACTCAGTATTCCGCCACCCCCAACTACACATACTCCAATGAGATGTGAACCAGCCACACCTACCAGGTGGCAGGGCTGGGGCCATTGGGACAGGGGGCTCAAGCCACATCATCATTTGTGGTGACCAAGCAGGGTTCCCCCTTTCCTTTTTCTCCTTCCCTACTTTGTACAAAGGACCAGAGTTTTATATATATATATATATATATATATTATATATATATAGACACACACACACACACACACACATATATATATATATATATATGTATATGTCTGTCCCCCGGCCCCCAACCTTTGTATTCTGCTCTTGGCACTCAACTGTGGGCTGCACGTGGAGCTGTCCCGTGCGGTGGTAGCTGTGTCCGTGTCCCCTCGTGAAATAATGTGCAGTGGAGGTCTCTTGTTGTGGTGCTAGATGTGTGTTTAGAGCTAAACCAGCCCCCACCCCCATCCTCCACCTGCCCCTCCTGCCCCTTGCCCCTCTGACCCTGGTCCAGGGACCCCTCACAGGGCCAGGGGATGCATAGCAGAAAGACTGGCCCCTTCCTAGGGTTATAAGCTGGAACTGCTTCCACTTTCAGTCTTCCTGGGAAGCAGCAGTTTTTAGCACTCTTGGTGTGGGTGGGAGGATGGGTACAAGCCCAGGATATTCCCTTGCTCTTCTCATCCGTCCAGGCCTCCCCTCCCTTAGCCTCCTCCTCCCTCATCTGTTCCCTAATGTCACATTCCCTGTGCTATCTTCCCTTGCCCAGGGTCTGTCTGTCTCTTTCCTACGTGGCTTTTCTTTGTCTTCCCCGAGGCTGAGTATCCCAGTTTTATCTGCTCCTAAGACTGAGCCCAGATCCCCAAATCTAACTTGATTTACAGTTCAAGGAAGCTGATGAGGGAGTTGGGCCTTACCCCTGATGTAGGAGGGGCACACAGCTGGGGGAGCAGAGCCCACCTGGGTAACTGACACCCAGGGGATGGAAATGCAGGGTTTCTACTTGGGCCTGAGAGTTTGGTCTGCAGGGGCAGGCTCCTTTTTTCTCTCCCCTGCCTTCTCCTCCTTCTCTCCCCAGAGCCCCCTTGAGCCCCTCTGCATATGTCCCTCTGCCTCCTCCCCATGCCCCCAGCTGCTGTAGCTTGATTCTCCTACCCTGACCGCACCATGTGCCAAGTGGCATCTGCCTTACTGCCTTCCCTGAGGAGTTGGGACATGCTGGGCAGTTGTCAGATGTAAAGGCACAGCTGGAGCAGAGGGCATGTCAGTAATGATTGGTCCCTGGGGAAGGTCTGGCTGGCTCCAGCACACTGGGGCATCTAGGTGTCTCTCAGTGACTGTTGGATTCCTGGGAGCAGTAGCTGTTCTGTTTAGATCTGGTAGAAGGGACAGGGGCTCAGAGGGCTAGGCCCGGAGGGAAGGTCAGAGGAGAAGGCAGGCAGGGCCCAGTGAGAGGGGAGCATGCCTTCCCCCACCCTGACTTGCTGTTGGTCACAGGGCAGTTCTGGGCACTTGAACTCAGGGCCCAAGCAGAAGCACAGGCCCAGTCCTGGCTGCAAGCACAATGGCCTGAATGGGATTTCAGGTTAGGTGGGGTGGGAGGCGAGGCTCTCAGGCTTTAGTTTTGTTTTGTTTTCCAAATCAAGGTAACTTGCTCCCCTCTGCCTACAGACCTTGGTCTTGGCTTGTCCTCACCCAGTCAGAACTCCCTAGCACTTTCAGGAGAGTGGCTTCAGGCCCATGGGGCTGTTCTATTCCAAGCGCTATAAGAACATGGCTGGTAGAGGCTCCAGCTGTGTGCAGGGCCTGAAGGGGAGTGGGTTCTCACCCAAAGAGCATCTGCCCATTTCCCACCTTCCCTTCTCCCAACAGAAGCCTGCCTGAGCTGTTTGGACAAAAATCCAAACCCTGCTTGGCTACTCTGGCCTGGCTTCAGCTTGGAACCCAACACTTAGGCTTCCAGGCCACCCTGAGCCAGGGGCCTCCGGAAGTTCTCTTCCTGATGGTCCTTTAGGTTTGGGCCACAAAATATAATTACCTCTCCTCTCTCCCATTTTCTCTCTAGGGAGCAATGGTCACAGTCCCTGGTACCTGAAAAGGGACCCTAGGTCTAGGCCCTTCTTCCCTTTCCGTTCCTCTCTCCTACCTGAGACCTTTGGCTCCCTTTTCCTTCTCTCTCTGGTGGCTCCAGGAGGCCTGTGATCTAGCTCCCTGCTTAGCACCCATGACCTGTTGGATGTTACCTCCAATCAATATCCTGTCCTACCTGCCTCTTTGGCTCAGACCTATATGGCCACGCTCTGGCTCTACCCTTGGGAAAGCCTGATCCTGGTGTGTGGCCCAACTTGTTCAGGCCCTGGGATGCTGCGTCTCCAGGCAACTATGCACTCTCCCAGGGAGGGAACCAGTATGAGAAGTGGGGGCAGGGCACACATTCATCTTTGCAGGAAGGTCTGGCCTGGGGTCAAGTGGAGGAGGGCCCAGGGCAGTTCTGGGGTCCCAGTGACCTGCTTTGCTATTCTCCTGGTGCCGCTGCTGCTCCCTATTTCTGGAGCTGGATGTTCCCCAGCTGGCAGTTGAGCTGCCTGAGCCAATGTGTCTGTCTTTGGTAACTGAGTGAACCATAATAAAGGGGAACATTTGGCCCTGTGTGTTCTGCTGTGCCATGTGTCTTCCTGTGGGCTTGCGTGGAGCCTCACGGCAGGCTGTGGGGCAGGGGCATGAAAGTATGGGGGCAGGGTGGGTCTGTGGTCTGTCATTCCTGGGATCTAGAGCTATATGACCCTGTGTGGCTCTTTATCTGATGCAGCCTTGCGTAGGTGATGAAATTGCCACCGAGGCCCCCTGCCTTGGGGGGAGGAAGTGGAAGAAGCAGGCTTGATCGGCCGGGCGTGGTGGCTCACGCCTGTAATCCTAGTACTTTGGGAGGCCAAGGCAGGTGGATCACGAGGTCAGGAGATTGAGACCATCCTGGCTAACAAGGTGAAACCCCATCTCTACTAAAAATACAAAAAATTAACCAGGCGTGGAGGTGGGCACCTGTAGTCCCAGCTACTTGGGAAGCTGAGGCAGGAGAATGGCGTGAACCTGGGAGGTAGAGCTTGCAGTGAGCCAAGATCACGCCTGGGAGACAGAGCAAAACTCCATCTCAAAAAAAAAAAAAAAAAAAAGGCAGGCTGGATCCCTGGGTAAGGGATGGTTTGGCCCAGATGGTCCATTGCAGCCAAGGGCAGGGGTAGAGCAGAGGCCCCACCTCAGCTCAGGGCAGGGAACCCCCAGCTGCTTTAGCCACCTCAATGAATACAGAGGTTTCTGGGGCCTGTGAAGGCTAAAAAATGAAAGGGGCAGGGAAGCATGCCCAATGTGCATTCTCCTGCTGCCTTCCCTTTGCCCACTCAATGCCCTCCACCTGGATCGCTGTTGGGATCCTGTATCTAAGCTCCTGGCTGTCCTTCAAGATTCATCTCAAGTCACTCCTTCAAGAAGGCTTTCCTGCCTGGAGGTGTTGCTTCCTCATGGAGGATCTTACCCTGTCATTTTCTGTGTCCCTGTTTGTGTCAAGAACAGGGACGCATCTCATTTATCCTGTATCCTGTGTGTATCCTGTGCACCTAAAATAGAAGAACCTTGGTAAATATTCAGCATTAAGTGCCCTGAGCCCTCTTTTACTAAGGACCTGCCAACATGGGCCCCATTCACACTAACACCGTGAAGATGGCCCTTTTCTATACTCCGTCATAAAAAAGTACTACACGCACCCGGGCAGCAACTTCCACACAAACAAACACATGTGAAAGGAGATCACCATTATTTCCAGCAAAAAGCTCCCCAGGCCTGGGTGCGGTGGCTTACTCCTGTAATCCCAGCACTTTGGGAGGCCAAGGTGGGCAGATTGCTTGAGCCTAGAAGTTTGAGACCAGCCTTGGCAATAGAGTGAGAACCCGTCTCTACAAAAAATACAAACACTAGTCTGGCATGATGGTGCACTCCTGTAGTCCCGGCTACTCGATAGGCTGAGATAGGAGGATGGCTTGAGCCCGAAAGGTGGAGGTTACAGTGAGTGGAGATAGCACCACTGCACTCCAGTCTGGGTGACAGAGCCAGTCCCTGTCTCAAAAAGGAAAAAAAAAAAAAAGCTCCCCAACAAGATAGCAGGCTAGAACATGCATGTGATGAAGGTGATTTGGAGGGCTCAGTGAGAGGTATCTCCATCAAGTTGCAGGAGGAGAAGAGAGAAAGGAGAGGTGATCATGTTCCTGAGGTCTCAGGCCTGGATCAGGAGATCACTGAAGTATTAACAGATCCTGATATTAAGGAAATGCTGATGTTTTTGGACTTTGGCAGTCTGTCCAACCTGCAGGTCACTCAGCCGACAGTGGGGATGAATTTCAAAACGCCATGTAGAGCTGTTTGAATCTTTTTGGGATACTGTAATATATTCAATAAACCTGGGACAACAGCAAAAAAAAAAAAAAAAAAAAAGCTCCAAGCAACGAGCAGTGTGTATGGGGCTGATAGGAGTGAGGAGAGGCGGTCGGACAGTTATGCCAGCCCCTATCGAGAGTCCCAGCAATACAAAGAACAGGAAGCCAGGGTTTGCTCCAGGATTTCCCCAGTGGACTACAACTCCTGGAAGACAGAGAAGTGGACTACAGCTCCCAGAAGGCTGCGCGACACACAGCCCCCACGGTGCTCTCGTGAGGCGTGACAGTCAGATTCCGCGGGAGGGCGGCAGAAATACCGCGATATTTGGGGTCGACCCCGAGACGCGCCTGGCGCGGGTGAGCAGTGGAACGGGGCCGGGAAGCTGGGTTCTCGCGGCGGCGCGGCAGGAGAGGTTCGGGGAGCTGTGTCTGCGAGCGTGGGTCCGTGGCTGTCTGTGTGTGTCCTCACTTTCCCCTCTGTGGCCATGAAGCTCTGCTTGCGACTGTGCGTGGGTAGGCGGCTGTGCATGTGTGCGACCTCCGTTTCCCGGCTGTACGGGTGGGGCCGCCTGGAGCAGGAGGGACTCCAGAGCCCGGAGTGGAGGGTTTGCATCTGTGCACGTCCAGCCCAACTTTGTGCTGCTCTGCGATTATTTGTCCAGCGTCGTTTAATCTAGTTTAAATGATGGCCGTGTCAGCTCCTCACACTTAGCGCTTACTCGGGCTGCCCAAAATACAAAGTGTATTTTAAAAGTTGGTAAAATTAAAAAAATACGATCAACTAACCAACAACATAGGTATGCTCCGGTCAGACTGTTCTGATTGGAGACTCTGCTTTGGAAGCCATGGGATATTGGAAGTAGCCCTAGGCCTGCCAAAAAGTGCAGAATGCCGTTTAAAAATTAGGCCAAATCTTGTCGAAAAAGAACTTTCTGCTGTCCTTGAAGTATTTGGAAGCAGGTGCTAGATGGTGAGCCGGAGAGGTTCCCAGGTTGGGGAAGTGGTGGGTGTCTTGGACCAGGGGTTTCCATCTCTGTCACAGTGGCTGGAAAGTAGCAATACGCAATCACTGCCTTTCTAGTAGCCCACGTGTGTGAGTGTGTGTGTTAGATACATTCATCCCTCAGTATCCGCAGGGGATTGCTGTATACTTTTTTTTTTTTTTTGTCCGATACAGGATCTCATTCTGTGACCCAGGCTGGAGTGCAGTGGTGGGAACATAGCTCACCGCAGCCTCGACCTCTTGGGCTCAAGGGATTCTCTTGCCTCGGTCCCCTGTGTATCTGGAACCACAGGCATAAGCCACCACACCCGGCTAATTTTTATTTTATTTTATTTTTGTAAAGACAGGGTCTCACCATGTTGCCCAGGCTGGTCTCAAACTCCTGGCTCAAGCAATCCTCCTTCCTTGGCCTCTCAAAATGCTGGGATTACTGATGTGAGCCACCACATCAGCCTTCCCGTATACTCTTTTTTCTTTTTCTTTTTTTTTTTTTTGAGTCAGGGTCTTACTCTGTTGCTCATGCTAGAGTGTAGTGGTGTGATCATAGCTCACTGCAACCTCGAACTCCCTGGGCTCACATGATCCTCCCACCTCAGCCTCCCAAGTAGTTGGGACTACAGGCCCAAGCTACCACGCCCCACCATATAATTTAAATCATCTCCAGATTACTTATAAAACCTGATACAGTGTAAATGCTATGTAAATAGTTACACACTTTTTTATTGTGGTACAATTTAATAATAATTTATTAAATTATACAATATAAATTACAATAATAATTTATTATCATCATCATATTTTGAAACAGTCTCTGTCACCCAGGCTGGAGTGCAGTGGCAAAAACATGGCTCACTGCAGCCTTCTAGGCTCAAGTGATCCTCCTGCCTCAGCCTCCCAAGTAGTTGAGACCACAGGCATGTGCCACCACACCTAATTTGTAAATTTTTTGTAGAGCTGGGGTCTTGCTATGTTGCCTGGGCTCAAGCAGTCCCCCCACCTTGCCCTCTTAAATTGCTGGGATTACAGGTGTAAGCTGGAGCAGAACCCTGGGCGGCTGGTAGTGAGGGGCTTTGATGTTAGGCTAAAGGATTCGGGCTCATAATGGATCTTGGATCCCTGCCTACCCACCACCCACTCCCCTTGTTTGGTTCTGCTTTGTCTCAGGCTCAGTTCTCATCCTTCCTGTATTGAGCTTGAATGTATACCCTGTCTGGCCTTGCTTTCCTTGCTCCCGTCTTTAGTCTGTTCTGTGCCAGCTCCACCTTTGCCCATATAGGGACTGGCAGGTATCCCTGAAACCTAAAACTCTGCCCTGAATTAAACTCATCAGAGGAGACTTAAACACACAAGCCGAGGCTCTTTGCGCTGTCTGTCCCTGTCTTTCTAGAGGATAGAGAAGCTGCCATTTTTCTGGCTGTGGCTTGCCTGCTTGGCTTGGTGCCCTGGGATCTTGAGGCTCAGTAATCACAGCCTGTAGCCCCATAATCTGCCTGCTTGCCAAGTCTTTTTGCTGCTCAGGAGTTCCTGTGAGTTCAGCAGAGCCTGGGAAAGTGAGGTACTGTCTCCAGCTACCCTTCCCGTGCAAATAGGTGACTCCAACAGGATCTGGTTAGAGTAATAGACTTACTGGTTTGGAATTTGATCCTCTTTGCAAGCAAACAAAGGAATCCTGCCAGCCGTCACCCTTCCTGGAATTCTCAGGTTGAACTGATTTGACCTCGCCTCCAAATGTTGGTTAAATGATCCACTTTCTATTCCTCAAGTGTATTAAACACACACATACACACACACACCCTCTTTTTTAGGAAGGTAGGTAGGTTTGATCCTTAGCACAGCTTTACTAAGCAGGCTAAGTACTATATTTCGGACTATAGTGCCTGCTGTGGGGAAGCAGTTGAAGTCACTAACACAGATTCCTGCCCCAAATTTAACTGATTGCTTTCTGTAACCTGTTTCCTAGGAATGAGATCAGCTTGATGTGGATGAGGTTCAGGGGCCTCAGAGATAAAATTTGGCTTCTGGTTTTGCAGGAATCTACCTATCCTAGCACCAGTTGGCTAGGGTGGGACAGGGTCAGGGTTTGAGATCTGGCAGGTAGATTTCCCTGGAGAATAAACAACGTGCTCCCATCATCTACCAATGATGTGTTCTGGGAAGCAGCTGGCTGGTAGGCCCTCTGTACCTTGTCAGATGCTAACAGGGTTCCCCACTCCCTGGAGTAAACTGAGTTCTCCAACTCTGACTAAGCATTGCCCTGCAGTGGAGCAAACATTGAGATTACTGGCAAATCAAACTTTGGGTGATCTTGCCCTAGGGAACCAGCCTGTGGTTAACCCCTGCTGAGAAGTGGGATAATGCAGCCAAACATGATCCTCAGCCCACGTGGGTTGTGCCCAAGTACTGAAGGCAAATCCTGGGCAGAGAGGCTAGAGAGCCAAGGGGCCTGTGAGTGAAGAGGAGACAGGCCCCTGTGGATGCTCAGCCATGGAGGTAGCCATTGGGCGACTCACCAGCATTGCTTCCTGGGCAGCTGCCTGGGTTTCCCTTGCCCTGCTGGTTCTTTTTTAAGTGTATCTTCTAGGACCTTCTGTCTTGTACGGAGAGGCCCTTACTGCTCTCTTTCATGTATCGAGTCAAAGTTTCTGCTGGAAGGAGCTTCAGAGATCATCTGGTCCTACCTCTTCATTTTTCTGATGAAGGGATAGGTCCAGGGAGGGAATGACCCTGGACCAAGGTCACTCCAGGTCAGGAGCACACCATGGTCAGGGCCCAGGGCTTCTGATTCACAGGCTGGGTATCTGTCTTCTGCCCCACACTGCCTTGGAGGGTATAGTTATTCATTCAGCACATGTTCAGGACTGCCAGCTAGTGGACTGCTGGTTGGCAATTAGACTTGGTCACACATTCAGGGAGCTTGCTGGTGGAGGGAGAGGCAAGGAAACTGATGTGTAAATTGAGTCTGTGATCACCAAAAAGGTACATCCCAGGGAAGGACTGATCTCAGATAATTTCAGACAGGTGTGATTCCTGTCTTCTCGAACTCAACCTACAGATTCCCCAGAGGCAGCTACTGTGTTTTCCACAATTCCTTTGCATGGTGTTCAGTGTAATCGGTCCTCAGTGATGGTTGCTGATGAAGCATGTTCTGCTGGCCCAACCTGCAGCGTGTAGGTTTTGGTGTCCATCAGCCATATTATCAAGAGCACTCACTTCTAGCAACGTCTGAGAGTCAGAGGAAGAAGCAAACCAGCTGGTCTCCTGGGGTGGCCTGCATCCTCTTTATGCTGGTTTCTTCTTGGGCTTTGATTTGTACGGTGGTGCCCATCTTGATTAACAAACAGGGACAGAGAGGCAAATCTCCTGGCTCCCTGGAGCACCCAAACCTCCTTGTTGCCCAGGGTTCCACCGCATGAGCATCTTTGGAACCCATCCTCTCGTAGTCCAGTCTCTCCATTAGCCCAGTCCACTGCAGCAGCTCCTCTCACCCTCCAGTCTCTCCATTAGCAGGGTCCCTTTGACACTATCACCAGGTGTCAGCACCATCTTTCTAAAACCGAAACTCCTCACCCTGGCCCTCGCTGCCCATGGCATTCTGGCCTCACCCCGACTTTCAGCCTCACCTCCTACCCCTCCACCACCCCACATCACACTCCGGCTTCACTACTAAGGCACTCCCTGTTCCCCAACCTGCCGCACTCCTTCAGGACTTTCACCTTTGCAAGATTGTACCTTCTTTTGAAGTGATTTCTTCCCATCTCTGAAAAACTAACTCGTCCTTCAGGACTCAACCCTAACATCATCTTTTCTGGGATGCAGCCTCTGACTTCCAGAGATGGTCACTCTGAGCAGCCACGGCACCTGGTACAGCCCTTCCCCACAGCACTGCAACATTCCCTTGTGACTGACTGGCCCAGGTGTGGGAATGGCATCTCACTTTCTTTTCAAACTGTGTGCTCCCTGAAGCCGGGACTGCTGATCCCTTTAGCTGCCTCAGCCTCTGGCCTGGGGCCTAACACGTGGTGCTGCATACATTCTGGTCAGGTATATGAATGAAGAGGGTGGCCCTTGTTCTGCTTTTAGATCCTAAATCCTGACAGGTTTATGGAGCCCAGGCCTGGCAGGCTCCCAGAACTTGAAGCCACCAGACCCCACATGGAACCAAAGGCCTCCTGTCCAACTGCTGCACCCTTGGTGGAGAGAAAATTCCATGTTCTTGTGGGTGTCACTGGGAGTGTTGCAGCCCTGAAGTCGCCTCTTCTGGTGTCAAAGCTTTTGGACATTCCTGGGGTGAGTATCCTCACCAGACAAGCATGGCAGCCTCCGGCATGGGAGGCCAGTGCTCCTGGGGACGGCCCATTGTTCTGCAGTGCGTGCAATTTTCTTTTTCTTTATCATGTTAATCATGCTTGTGGAGGTCCTGTGTGTGTAGTGCTCTGTGGAGGATTCAGGAGACAGAGACCAGTGTCCAGTGTAACCAGGGGCTAGATTAGATAGTACAGACAGAGCCTGAGGGGAGACTGGGAAGGGACCCGGTGAACGGAGGGTTTGGGCTCCCATACATTAACCCTGAGAATCTGTGAAGTCCTGTGTGGGAGGAGGGCTGGTTGGAGAAGTGCAACAAGTTCTTAGTACCCTTTCCTGCCTTGGGCTCCCCCACCCCCACTTTCATTCCATCTTGAACACTGCGGCAGTGTTCTCCCTCCTTGTGAGACCCCATGGTTGTCCTGTCAGTCAAATGCTCTGAAACCCCATTGCCTGAAACTCTAGGTTCAAACTTTGCTCCTTCAGGCGTTCAGAGATGCCCCAGGGGCCCCCAACTGTGTGCTGGGGTCAGGGACTCTAGTCCCCGTCCTTGGCCAGACCCTCAACTTGGATCTATTTTCTATATTGGATCTATTTTCTTTGGGTGCAGAAGTTCAAGGCTTTAAACAGCGTGAAATCTAACAGGCAGTGGCCCCACTTCCTATGTTCCGCCTCCAGGGCCCTTTGTTGGTCTGTCTTACCTCCTTGGTCTTTGCGTGGCTGGGCCCTGCTGGGCTGGCTGCCCTCTCTGCTCCTCTCCCGCCTTTTCACATTTTGTGCAAAGCCTTCCCTGACTGCCCCAGCCCAGTCCCTGTGGTTTTGGCCCCTTCTTTTAAACTCATTTGACATAGAACTATAGGTTGCCTTAGACACTACTAATGTTACTGGCCCCTAGTTTTGGTGGGGTCTTGTGAAGTTGCTGGGCCCCAGGCCTGGCTTTTCCCTCTCTTGTATCAGCTGAGCACCCAAGGTGCAGTGGCCCAGGCAGCCATATCTGGCATGTCCAGCAGGGGGCGGTGCTTACTCACAGTGGTCCCATCAGCTGGGGCTGGTGGTCCCATCAGCTGGGGCTGGGCTGGGAAGTGCTTCACTTTTTTACTTTCCACCAACTTCCACCCAGAAAGTCACCCTGTCACCCCACCCCCAGGGCTGGGATAAGCCATGAAGCTGCCAGCCAGGGATGACAGCCGGCCAGAGTAGGGGAGGGAGGAGAGTCTCGTGGCACTCTGAGACTGGGTGCTGCACTTTTAGGGCAGTACTCCTTAGGCCCAGCCACCCCCTGTGTACCCAGAACCATTGGTAGGAGCTGGCCAGCTAGAGCCATGAGGGCGGGAGGCCTGGAAGGGTTTGCAGCAGTGAGAGCCTCTGCCACCACCCCCTGGGGAGGGAGGGAGCCATGCAGTTCCCTTTTCCCATAGCCCCAGAGCAAGTGAGTTTCCGGACCAGGGGTGGATAGGGGCGGGGAGTCCTATCCCAGGAAACAGATGGGCAGCCTCAGAACGGAGGGAAATGGCAACCCCACCGCTTCCTCCCATCCCACGCAGCCAGCGTTTGGCTGGGGGGCGGTGTGTGGAAAGGGTTGCCTGGAGCGGGGAGGCGATCGAGCCCACCCCAGGGCTTTTTAGCCTGGGCCCCGTGGGAGGGCAGGCCATGTCTGGAACAGGACTTGGCTTCCCCTCTCTGGTTGGAGTTGACGCCAAAAGTGAGGCAGCCAGAGGGCACTGAACTGGGAGGGAAGGCTCCCCGACTCAGCCTCTTGGAGCCTGCCTTTCCCATTTGAAAATAAGGCTGATTCCTGCTACCCATCCCCCAGGCTCTTGTCAGGCTCCCTGAGATGTTGGCTGGGGTGGGAGGGGTCACAGATGAAATAGTCCTGTGCCAGTGACTTGGTGCAGAGCCTGGCATGTTGAAGCACTCGGTTGTGTGTGTTTGCTGGCCATCACCGTGTCCTTTCCCCTTGTTCATGTCCTTTGGGCCAGCCACATGGTGTGGGGCAACCCCACTGGGAAGAGCCATGGAAGCCACAGTTCACCTGCACTTGTGGAGGGCCCATGCCTTTCATCTGCAGGGAGACAGCTCTCCAAGCCTGGCTTTGCTTATTGGGGCCTTCCTGAGGTGTGGGATCCAAAGGTAATCCCTGGATTGCCTTGTGTTGGCCCCAGTGGTGGCGTCTACCCCTGCACACTCCTCTGGATTTCCTGATGGCCCTGATCTCCACACTGCCTCCTGCTGGATCTCCTGCAGGAGCATCATTGTCCCTTGGAGCAGTCACTTTCAGCTCTTCACCTGCCGAGTTGTGGGTTCGCGTGCTCGAGGCTTTCTGGAACTACCTTAGGTACCTCCAGATTTGGTCTAGCACATGAACAGCTGGGGTGTGGGCTGCAGGGAGCTGGGGGATTCTACAGATCTGGCCCATCACTGTTTCTGATTGACCAGCATGTCCAGACATCCCGGGAAAGCCGCTAACCTCAAGGTAGCCAAATCAGGGAGACTCTGAGGGGTGCTGGAGAGACATGGATTAGGCACAAGCCACACACACCAGCACGATGGGGAGAGTAGTCACTAGCAGAGACGACCTTGAGTATGTTGGGGCAGGTGGGCAACCGTGTCACAAGAGAGGCAGCTGAGCACATTTCTGATGCTGGGACGCTGGGCAAGTCAGTTCTTTTTGGCCATAGTTTTCTTATCCACACAGTGAAGGATGGTCAGGTTCTCAAATGATCCATCTCCAGGGTCTCTTCTGGCACTGGTGTTAGAATATTCTAGATGTGAGGGCAAAAAGGACTAGGACCCAAAGGCAGCCTGAGAGAAGGTCCTGGGGCCCAGGAACTTCAGGGGGATGGGGGGTTTTGTAGTTCCATAGTTGTCATGTAATTGAGTGGCAGTAAAATCTGGTTTGTCAGCTCAGGCAGTTTATTCCCTGGGGTTGGCAGCCTGGCCCGTGCAGGGGAGCAAAAATGGCTTTCCTCCATCTTGCTAGGCTGCTTGGCTGGGCTATGAGTTCAACTGACTTATAAACAAAATTAACAGGACTGCGTGCAGTGGCTCACTTTGGGAGGCTGAGGTGGGCGGATCACTTGAGGCCAGTTCAAGACCAGTCTAGCCAACATGGTAAAACCCCAACTCTACTAAAAATACAAAAATTACCCGGGCGTGGTGGGCGCCTGTAATCCCAGCTACTCGGGAGGCTGAGGCAGGAGAATCGCTTGAACCCGGAAGGCAGAGGTTGCAGTGAGCTGAGATTGTGCCACTGTACTCTATTCTGGGTGACAGAGCAAGACTCCACCTCAAAACAATAACAACAACAGAAAACAAGATCAATAGGAGAAAACCATATTTAATTACATAATCTGCACGTGGGTGTACCACAAAATATGAGATTCCCAGAAGGGTGAGATGACTGAAGCCTGTATAGCAGCCTGAGTTACAGAAGGAAATAGGGGCTTGGGGCTTCTGGGGGTTGTGGCGACACAAGTTATGGGAGGGTGAGGGGAGGAATTGTACAGTGAATAAACGTCTTGTTAGGCAGATAAAAACTTCTCAGATAATGAAAGATGCCTCAGCAGATTGTCAATAAGTCAGTCTTCCCTTCTCAGGGAGGGGGACTCAGGACAAGGGGCATCCCTCTTTAGGCAGATAAGAGAAGTTCAGAGAAAGTTCCTCCCTGCATCTGTTTTTTTCCCAAGTGTCTTCAGGTTTGAAATAATCAGCATACCAAAGCCACATATTATGGGATGGCATTTCCTGAACTCCTTCATCCACAACCTTTAAACTTGGGAGGAGAAGGCAGATATCGCCCTAGCTTTTGCCAGGGCAGGTGTCAGCAGAATTCAGAGCCAAAAGGGGATTTCTAAAGATAGAGAAAACCCCTGACTCAAGGAGTCAGCAGGCCTCGGGCTCAGAGGAGGATACATTTCTAGGGTGTCCGTCGGGACATCCAGGTCTGTTGAGGGTGAGGAAAAGAAGGCTCTGCTCATAGGTAGTGTGGAGTAAATTCTGACTTTCTGGAGGACCACTTGACAGTATTGAGAGAAATTAAACATGTTCATAGCCCTTGATTTACCCACAGGATTAAACCCTGTGGGGGGTATTTACAAAATAAAAGGATGTTCATTATAGCATTATTTATAATTTCAAAGCAAAACTGGAAGCAAACAAAATGTCCAGCAGTAGAGAGCTGTGGTGCCCTTATGATTTATGGGACAATCTCTCAGTGGATTACTTGGCAATGTTTCAGAAAAATGGGGTGGCTCTCTCTGTGCTAATGGGAGCAATCCTCAAGATAGAAGCGGAATAAGCAAGGTGTAGGAGCTAGTGAACTGGACCCCCAGGCCAAATTCTGCTCAATGCCTGTTTTTGTATAGCCTCCAGCTAAGAATGATTTTTACATTTTAATTTTTATTATTTATTTTTGAGACAGGGTCTTGTTCTGTTGCTCAGACTGGAGTGCAGTGGTGTGACCACCACTCACTACAGCCTCGACCTCCCAGGCTCAAGCAATCCTCCCACCTCAGCCTCCCAAATAGCTGGGAGTGCAGGTGTGCCATCACACTCCACTAAAAGTTTTTTGCATTTTTTTGTAGATACAGGATTTCGCGATGTTGCACAGGCTGGTCTCAAACTCCTGGGCTCAAGTGATCTATCTGCCTCCACTTCTCAAAGTGCTGGGATTACAAGCATGTGCCACTGTGCCCAGCCTGATTTTTACATTTTTAAATGGTTGAATCAGAAGAAAAATAGTATTTTGTGACTCATAGAAAAAGTGATATGAAATTCAGATTTCAGGTCCAAGACAATTTACTGGAACACAGCCATACCCATTCATTTACGTATTGCCTATGACTGCATTCGTGCTACTACAGAGTTGAATCTTGCAACAAAGCCTAAAATATCATCTGGCCCTTTATAGAGAAGGTTTGCTGACCCCTGGTACGCAGCCTGATTCCTTCTGTGTGTTTTTTTTTTTTTTTGTTTGAGACGAGTCCTGCTCTGTCCCCGCCCGGCTGGATTGCGTGCCCAAATCTCGCTTCACTGCCAACTCCACCTCCTGGGCTTCAACACCATTCCTCCGCTGCCTCAGCCTCCGATAGCAGACTGACGGTGGCACACCTCCCACCACTAACTTTTTGTATTTTTAGTAGAGACGGAGGTTCACTGTGTTAAGCCAGTGATGGGTCCCTCGCATCTCCTGACTCTCCGTGATCTGCCCGCTTGGCCCGTCCAAAGTCTGGCGATTCAGGCGGATCGACGCCCCGGGGACCTCCTATGTGTTCTATATACTGACTTACTGCGCACAGTTTCCTTCTCCTCTGGAGGCTGTTTACCTTGTGGAGGGGACCGGTAAGAAGGCAACT